AGATGAAAATATCGAAAGAAGATATCAAATGATTAATGGAAAACAAGGCAAGATGCTTGCGAGTCTTTTAGAAAAGCTATTTAGAAAGATCCAAATAGACAGACTTTTGGAGGAAAAAGATAATCAAAAAGAATTAATCACTGATCCAGAAGAAGTTCTTAAAAAGACAAGAAAGCATTATCAAAATCAATTTAGGCCTTGTCCTTTTGATCAAGAGCTATAGGAGAGAAATTGGAAAGAAATCTATAAGCCAAAAGAAGAGATACAAGAAGTGTGATATAAGAAACTCGATCAGGATATCTCTGAAAAAGAGTGGGAAAACATGCTTACAGACTTAAAGAAAAACACTACTTCTGGAGTTACAGGAATTACCTATATGCAGTGTTGTACATTTTTGATGTCCGGGTCATATATGACGAACACGGACATTTTCGGACATTGTCCCATGTCCGTGTCTGTCACATGTCCCAAATACAAAGATTGTCATCGGACATTGTCCGCACAAACAAAATGTCCCGCGGACATTGTCCGGGACATTTTTATGTCCAGGACATTTTTTATGTCCGGGACATTTTGCATTTAATTGGTTAATTCTAAATATTCCCGAACTGTTATTGGCTAATCAAAAAATAATCAGATGCATATTGCATTAAATAGAAATATGTTTGATAACAGGTTTTTTCGTGGCACTTTCTCAACAATAATCTCTAACTTAATACTGCGAAAAAAGGTCAAATTCATGGAAAGTAAAATTATTCCTATACCCAATATAGCTATAGCAGGCTGTAAAACTCATTCAAACAAAATTCGATTCAGAATAGACAATACCGATACTTGCTTTATATGTTCATATTGTTGATAGTACGTATACAGGTTTTTTCATGGCACTTTCTCAACAATAATCTCTAACTTAATAAAGGCTGTGACGGCAGGCTGTAAAACTCATTCAAACAAAACTTGATTCAGAAGATACTTGTTCATATTGTTGATAGTACGTATGATTGACAATATAAGAATAAATGGGGATACCCACAGCAAAAACAGGTGATGGGACTATATATTATATAGTTCTATCACCTGCTTTTGCTGTGGGCATTACGCAAATTGTCTGGATTATAATTTTTTCAATTCTTTATATGAAAAATAAATAGGTCAGTAAATGAACTAAAGCAGGACGTTAATCAGGGCAATATCGATTTTTTTTTTAAAGCAACATTGATTTTTTTTTTTTTTAAAGCAACATCGCTTTTTTTTCTTTTTTTTTTTTTAAAGCAACATCGCTTTTTTTGTTTAAAGCACATCGATTTTTTTTTAAGAAAAAGCAACGACGTTTTTTAAAAAAGCAACATTCTTATTCTTTACAGTAATATTTTTAAAAGTGGTATTTTGTTAAAAAGCCATATATTTTTTTAAAAAAAGGTGGCATTATTTTTTTTCTTTTTAAAAAAAGAGACAGAATTATTAGTCACTGAATACAAAATACCCTCACCACGAAAGTATGGCACCAATACCTGAATTCTTAAACCAATATATTATTAAAAGCAAAGAAAAATTAAATAAAAGTAATTACAAAATTTTTTGCAAGGCGTGTGTTGAAGCACTTGGTGAAGATAAAGGGAAGCAAAATTGTTTTCCTAACAAAACGGATAGAGTAATTTTGCACCTTAAAAGGTGTGAAAATTTTAATAATAAGACCACGTCGCATTTATATTATTTTTAGTAGCTATAACTCATTCTGTTTCTTATCTTCGTACTTCTCTGATAGCAGCATTTA